GTGTGTGTGTGTGTGTGTTCGGGCAGCAGCTGCGCTCTCTGCGGGTACTTCCTAATTTTTCACCGCTGTCAGTCCCGTTAAACTACCGGCTGCCGTATTCTCCCAGAGCAAAACAGAAACATTAATATTCAACTGATGATGAATAAGGCTGTTTGATGGAAGTGTTTGAATAGAGCTGAACGCTCCCTATGTGTATAACACAGAATATATATATTTATCTTTTATAGATAGACCATTGATTGATTGATTAATTGATTGAGAGAGTTGTGTGCAGATTAATTTATAACAACAATAGTTCAAAGAAGCCATGAACCTGACTTTTTGTGCCTAATATGGGTAAAACTACTATAAAAAACAAAAACAAAAAAAATGAATCCTACATATCCCATAATGCCTCTTTCATCAGACCCTCCCTGCCCAGTAAATGCCCATGTCTCTGAAGCTTACTTACTCTGAAGATTTGTTGTGCAGGTGAAGTCTTCAGGGTATTTTCTCAGACTTTGCAGAAGACATTACACAACTCTTACAGGTTGTAGTTCCCCTGTAATACAAGCAAACTCACTTTAATGTGCAAAATCTGTGACATTTGCATTAAACAGTTTATATTTTTTTTTATGTTGTAGCCTAATGATGCTGTGGAACAGGAAGTACCAGGAGTTTGATCTGGTGGTGAGCTCTGTCACCACCAAGGTGAAGGGTGTAGCTCAGACCCACCTGCCGGGGGTCGGGGACGTGGTCTGGGATGAGATGGACTACAGCGGGCCCTCACAGGTAGGACCTTCAGGGTCCTCAGTCCTCAGGGTATTGGGTGATTGACAAAAAGGAGAATTTTAAGTCTTTTTTTTTTGTAGGTCAAAAACTCCTTCTTTGTGGTGACCAATGTCATTGTGACAAGGAATCAGAAGCAGGGAAAATGCGCAGAGGTGCTCTTTCATCATTATTACTCACCACATTTTAAGTAGTTTAATCTGACAGTATATAACAGTGCTGCTAATGGCATGATGATTAAAATGAAAAGTTAGCAGACCTTTCTTATTTTGCAGCAATGTTTATATTCCAGGTTCCCCTTAAAGGCAGATATTGTCGTACTGATCAGGACTGTGAGAAAGGAGCCTGGCATCAGCAGAGTCATGGTACAGTAACTTCTCCTTCACTACATTTACATGCAGGAAACCAGGTTACACAGGGAATTGGAGAATACGTTTTCATGCACTGTAATTCCATGATACAGGCAGCAGGTCAGTAACCAGACTTCACCCTCGACCTCAGTCTGAAAGCCTTCCTGGTTTATTTTAGCTGTAGTGGTGATCCAATAGTTAGCTGTGGAAACTTTAGACTTGTAGAGGCCAGAGGCTCAGTTGTGGATGGATTTTAAATGGCGTTGTTTTGAATAGGAGGATCTGTTATCTCACTTCTCTGCTGTCATAGCAATACTTTCCGTGTCCTAAGTGGCTTACAACAGTTGACACCTGTTTCCACAAGAAGCAGAGGAATTTATCATTAATGTGTTGCAGTAGCTTCAGCCAGCTGTACAGTAGCTCTCAGCTTTCTGCTAAATGAAAGCTTTGGGTGCCACTGTTGGCGCTTCATCAGCTGCTGCAGAAATCAAACCTGTTACTTCTCAAACTCTGTTATGACAGAATGTGTAGAGGTTTAGATTCAGCAACGTTTGTTCTCCTTCTGCAGGGATTCAGACAGGATTATGTGTGAAGTTTGGTGTGTTGAAGAAGACCTGTGAGGTTTCTGCGTGGTGTCCAATTGAAACCAAGACGACCCCTACGAGGTAAACTCTTCAGGATTTGAACTTTTCTTGATCCTCTGAGATTTTGTGACACCAAGACCAGATCAAAATGTACAACCTTCAATCTCTTCGGGGCAACGGAAACACTTATCATCACTCTTCAAACTGATATTGGGAACGTGTTAACAAACAGTTGCTTATTCACTCATCCGAAGCAACATTATCATTAATTGTGAGTTTCTGGCAACCTGATAAATGTGATTCCAATATCCACTCCTAATTGGCTTTAAGTTTTGTCAACTCTTGGGGAAATATGTGGCTCTTCAGCTGATCAGTGCTCCACTGCGAGCAGCTAGTCTCGAACTGTGTCTGTCTGCTGTTTGGAGCTGAGCAGGTAGTGTACAGTGGGTTTTTAGACCTTTTTGCTGAAAACAGCAAATTCAGAATAACAAGCCCTTTCACACGGTTATTGATACTTTATTATAAAAATATTGATTGTAGCTGCTTGCTGGTATGCAGAACTACAACTGAGCCAAACAGCGTATCCTGGTGAAGGTTGAGCCTTTTGTGAACGGATTGAATTGAGGTCTGACAGTGTTGAGCTCAGAAACCCATGTTGAGTTAGGTAGCAACATCACCTTTTTTTCTGGAGCCAGAATTGGACTGTTCTGGCTCCAGATTTACCAAATTCTGCTCCACCAGTGGTAAGAATAGCAACCACAGTTTTCCCTTTATTTGTAATCCATCTGTTTTGTTTTCCGGTGTGTAAAGAGCTTCAGCAGACCGCTTGCAGTCAAAGCGCTGCCAGGGTGGCTGTAGACCTAAACTGTGTTTTACCTACTAACTGTACACTTAATGTGAGTATATTTCATAGTATATTTCATAGTATACTTTGAAGTTTAATGCGTTTATGTACTAAACATCATAATATACTATTTTTGCAGAACACAAGAAATCAAACTGATTGTGGATGGAAATGAAACATTTGCAGAAATGCTTAAAAAAAATAAAAATAAAACGATGACAGCAACTGTGTTATTTCCTCTTAGGATAAAACCTTAAATGTCCCCCCGATTCCACCCTCAATCAGTGGTATTTTTTTGCTGTAAGTGGCTCATCCATTTATTTTGCATTGCCCATTCACATCCCTGCTCTTTAGTATTCATATAGACTGTTTAAAGTATATGTTATTTTGTTACTTTTCCACTGTAAACACTCACACTAGTATTTAGGATAGCACTTTCTATGAAGGTCATGTCTATAATGCATTTGAAGCACATTCATAAGACATTTCACTGCATTTATAAGGCTTTATATAACTCTTTATAAATTACAAGGTTTATAAAGTATTATTATAAATTATGGACATAATGTAATAGAAGTTCACATTCATAATGCTCTTTAATGCCAAAGTGACAACTGTGTTTGACAGAAGAATCCTGGGTCACATTGCACATTATAACTAAGTTTCTGAAATGGAATAATGTCTTTTAAACATCAATATCAGATGGTGATATAGTGCATCTGTGTTTCTGTTATTAAAATGTACTGTATTATAGAGAGCAGTGTATAATAGTATGAATTTTCCAGGCCTGCTCTGCTGGCAGCAGCCGAGAACTTCACAGTCCTCATCAAAAACAACATCAGGTTCCCTGCGTTCAACTTCATCCGGTGAGAAAGCTTTAAGACTGATGCTACAGAGGCGCTACACACCTCTGTGTTTGTACAGCAACAAGTTTCACATCTCAATGAAGTAGTATTTTCCTCTCTTTGTGGTTTTAATTACTGCCTCACTTTATCATATCACATTTGCATTCAGTCATGGTGAAAATGAGCTAAATATTTTGCCCTCAGCTATTTCCCTGCATTATTTTATTTTTATTAAATAAAAAGAGCCAATAAAACATTAGAACATTGTAGGAGACTAAAACTCTCAGCTGGAAACCGACTGATGACATTTCTAAAGGCTTTGCAGCAGACACAAAGATTGAAGACTTCCCTTCAGTGGGAGAGAAACTGACTTTCTGTGAATATTCAAGTCTTATTTTTATTTTGCAGAAGGAACATCCTCCCAGAGATGAACGACGCCTACCTGAGGAGCTGTCAGAGAGGAAGGGACTTGCTGTGTCCCATCTTCAGACTGGGAGACGTTGTTCGAGAGGCCGGAGAAAAGTTCTCTGAAATGGCAGTAGAGGTGGGTTCATGCTGATATGCTTCTGCTGTGAAAGCCAAGTTAATTGTTCTTAATTGGTCTTTATGTGCTACTGTCCACCATCTCAGTCAGTTATGGTAACAGTTTAGTGACCAACTTTACTGCTGAAAACTCAGGATGCAGGAACATTGTGAGACCAACGTGTTACACCCACACAATCTTTTTTTGGGTTTTCTCTTAGTGAGCCACTTTTTCCTCAGCAAGAGATCAAGTAAAGTTGAAATGAAACAGCCAAAAAAGGAAGTGTTGCCACAAACTTTCTTCAGTTTGGGTGGATGAAAGTGGAACTTCAGTAAATTTGTGCCAAATAAATCTTTGAGCTTTTTTCAAGAAGAATTCCTCCTTTTTGTTTCGATATTTATTATTATTAATTAGCTGATTTATTTTCTTGAAACAAGTGAAAAACGTATGTATTTATCTGTGTTTATAACATTGATAGATCTTATAATCCTTCCAGTGAAAATCAACTTCAGGTTGCATTTGTCTTGATTTCAGTGCAGCTACTATCTTTCTTTTCTCAACACACACTTTTACATATTTCTAAATAAAAAGAGAAAAGGCAAAAGAATCACAAACTTAAGTTTCACAATTTAAACATTTTCTCACAGAGAGAGTAGAATTAATTTTCGTCAGTCTGACCTGTGCCAAGTGAAGGTTTTCCAGCTAACTGACTCTCTTCGTGGTCAGTGATGTTTAGTGGTTCATCCAGTTCTTGTGTTGACCACAGGGGGGCGTCATCGGCATCCTGATCAACTGGGACTGCAATCTGGACCGGCTCATGCAACGCTGCAAGCCTAAATACTCCTTCAGACGGCTGGATGAGAAAGAGAGCAACAAGACGCTCTACCCCGGCCTCAACTTCAGGTGAGCAAAGGTCAGAGGTCAAGTTTACCATATTCGGATACCATTATAGGAGCTTTGGTTATGTTTAGACTGAGGTTTTCAAAAGCCAACAGTTTGTGCTGCTAGTGTGAAAGTCCAGACATTTTGCTGTTTGTATGTCCATGAATTTACATAAAAACAATTAAGGTTTCAGTGTTTCACCAGTTATATTTCTGTCGGTTGGAAACATTGAGACCATGAAGAGAAAGTGAAAATTCAATAATAAACCAGTTTGTTTAGTTTGTTCTGTGGTTGTGGTTTGTCACAAAAGTGCTGTACTTTGATGTACTACTTTACTCGAGTATTTCTATTTCATGCAACTTTATACTTCTATTGTACTATATCACAGGAGGAAATATTGTACTTTTTACTGACAGCCTCAGTTACTAGTTACTTTTCAGATTGCTATTGTTCATACAATTCTTGTCCAGTGAAAACCACATATTTCCAAATGTGATTTTGAATTTGAAATGTTTCTGATTAACTGAAGGATTAAATGTTCCTTAATGGGCCTACTTCTTAAACTGAATAAACTGTTTAAAAATCCTTTTGTTGGATTGGCTTAGTGTAACAAAGCTGAAAACAGCAGTTTTTCTGAGCTCATGTAGAGATACGTTGTTCTCACAGGACATGCTGCAGTAAAAACAGACACATTTGTTGTTGTAAATAAAGCTGCATAATGTTAAAGGCTCTTCTGTAAGTGTTTCAAGTATTTTTATCATCGATCATATCGACTGTCTTCTGATCAGGTATGCAAAGTACAACACAGTGAACGGTGTGGAGGAGCGAACGCTGTACAAAGCATTCGGGATCAGATTTGATGTCATGGTGTTTGGACAGGTGGGTTTGTTTGCTTTTTCCCCATTTTATTCTCTTTTACTTTCAGGGTTTTGATCTTTTCATATATTTTTTTAGACTAAATATCTTCAAACCTAAAATCTAAACCCGTTTTGAATTTTTATTAGGCCTTTGTTAAATGGCAAAATGTATATTACCTAGTTTAGGCATCTATTATTTGTTGTGGTTGAGAGGAAATTATCAAAGATGCCATATCTGATTAATAAAATAACTGCTTACTGATGCAAAACATCCTTTATCATAAACTCTCTGTGCCCATGCCCTCTTTGCACAGTATTTCTATAAAGCTGGCTCTAACTGTGGAGGAGAATATGTAAAATAAAAACAATCCAGTGACAGTTTGGTCTGTTTTCCAGGCGGGAAGGTTCAGCTTCATTCAGCTCATCATCTATATCGGATCAACGCTGTCGTACTACGCTCTGGTGAGAGACCACACTGTGTTAGCTGCTGTCATACAAGTGTCCATTCATGCTTTTATCCTCCGTTAGTACTGAACACAGTGGCGATCAGTGTTAGAGTCCAGAGTGGGACTTTAAATGGCTGCTGCATCTGGACAACCTGAATGAAATTCACTGCAGACTCACCAGAAAGAGCTGAATAAGCTCAGTCTGTAAAATAAAAACTATAAGAGTAGAGATTGAGGCTGTGATGCATAATGGTCTCCATACTGCCATGGTGGAGTGTAAATTATTGTACTTAAGGGTATATGTAACATTCCTGCATTAAAAACGAAAAACGATTAGACCTACTATATGTTATAGATTTTATTGAGGTGTGTACTTACATTATTCCCAATGTTTCCAACAATGTTGAAACGCAGAGAAATCTTAATTTATAGTTTTGATTTATATTTATAATCTTAATCTTAATAATTTATTCAAGGTTCATTTGGCAGCATGTCAGTGGCCTCATATGCCCCTTTCCCCCTCTAGTTACTATAACTTCTGGGGAAACGGGCTACATCAGAGATGGAGGAAGTCAGAGAGGAAGTCGGCAAATGTGACTCAACATAACATGAACAAGAATTCAATATGACCTCGTTTGTGAGCAATTTCTACCTGAATCACGTCAGATAGATTTTCATCAACAATGGTGGTTGTTTAACTACGAAGACAAAAACTCCACGCTACTTCACTACATATTCAAACTGTCTTTTGTTATTGTTGTGACGTGAGAGACCCTAGTGGCATAAGTTATATACTGCATGTTTAACTAAATGTTTGTTACAGCATTTCTCAATCTTTTCAAAATTTTTACAAACTAAACAATTGATTAATGGAGAAAATTATTTTTATTTATTTGATTTAACAATAAAACACTACAGCAGAATTAAAAAAAACCCTAGAGGCTTGTAAAAGATAATCTCACCTCAATAAGCATTACAAGCAGATGCAAAAACCTTGTTAGCCACAAAAGTAAACAGACAGCAAACAGAATCTAGATGTAAACATAATGTATGCAATAAACAATCAGTCGATTAATCCATAATGCAATTAATGATAATAATGATGGTTCAAATGGAGCTCCACCTCAACCAACTACAACAGTGAAATCTTGCTTTTACATTAATGCAAAAGTAATAACAATCTAATGATATCATATGTAACAGTCACACAGTACAATGAGTACTTTTACTTTTAATACTCTAAGTGCCTGTTCCTGATGATACCAAACTGGTAAGTTCTTTAACTCAAGTAAACATTTTCAGTGCAGGACGTTTACGTGCAAAGGAGTACTTTCACTTAAGTAAAAGGTCTGACCACTCTTCCTCCACTGCCATACAGTGGTGAGTCATAAGAGTGAAATCATGGATGAAGTGTCAGTGGTTTCATACAGGGATGTTTTTCAGTCTGGAGTTTGACTTCACTTCTCACTACTGTCTGTGTCGCTTTAGCACAGCAGATGCATGTATGACGCAGATCTATTATTGAGAAATTCACAGTAACAGTAAATCCTTAGCAACCCCTCTCTCTCTCTCTCTCTTCTCTGTCTCTCTGCTCTCTTTCTCTCTCTTCTCGTCTCTCTCTCTTTTCTGCGAGTTCTCTCTCTTTTTAATGTGAGAATTTAGGGTTTAAATTTTACCGCCTGACCTACTTCCAACCCCAGTGGAAGGAGGGTAGTCTTAATATTTTATATACTAAATTGTTTTCAATATCAACCCCATACAAGCACTAGAGAAAGTGATGAAAGCCTGGCTTTCTGTGAAAAAAACCCCAACAGCTTTTCTTTGACAGAAAAATTGGGGTTTCCTCGGAGGCAGCATCTAGTGGCTGTAGCTGCAGCTCAAGATACTTCAGTCAGCAGTGGTTGATGCTGCTTGAGCAAAATCCAACAATGCCGAGCAGCAAGCTCACCAAAGTTGACTGCTGGTAAAACTCTGTGTGTGTTTCCCTGCAGACAACCATATTGATCGACTGGCTGATTGGAACCAGCTGTTATTCTGCAGAGGTTGGAAAAAAATACTCCGAAAAGAAAGTGGAGTCAGTCCAAGACAAGCAGAAGGTGATGTATGGTTTGATATGACTGATGATGTAATGTTGGATGCACTGTGGCTGTAAACCCACTGTCAAACAAACAGTTATTAATACGTATTCAAATCTCTGTAATCCGCTAGTTTATGATCGTTCTGAATATCTTCCCGTGTGGTGTGACTGTGTGTTGCAGTGCATCCTCTGTGTGTCCTACGTTGATGAGAACAACATTCGACTGGTGAAGAAATCACAGAAGAAAAGTTTACAAGACATGAAGCCAACAACTGTTCAGCCACGTAAGGTAAACCTGCTGCAGGGAGGATGGATCCAGAGAAAGGACATGTAGAAATGGTCTCTTTTTACTAATGACATACAGTGAAATTAAGACCTAAAATATATGTTGCTCCACGATATTCGCTTCAAACTAATTTAAACTTTCAGGATCTAAGCAACTCTAGGTTTATTAGGTAATTACAGCCTGAATCCTCTCATTGATCTGACTGATATATTGTTCTGACAGGAGGACACAGGACACCTGAGAGCCGTTCTCTCTCTGCTACAGCCGGGTGTCGGCTTGGATCACGGCGCTCAGCCCCCCCTTGACCGTAAACCCGACCCGAACCCCAAACCCCGTCGTCCAGCCTGGTGTAAGTGCGACTGCTGCGCTCCCTCGCCGCTCCGTCAGGAGGAGCTGTGCTGTCGGCAGAGCGACGGCACCTGCATCACCTCATCTCCTCTCTTTGAGCAGCTTGTATTGTGTCGCTCCCTGCTGGAGGCCGTCCTTCTGTACCAGGACCCTCTGTCTTCACCTGCTGAGCGAGGCCGGACCACCGCCCTGCGCCACTGCGCCTACAGACAGTACATCAGTTGGAGGTTTGGGGTCCCACCTAACGACACCCACCCTGCCATCCCCAGCTGCTGCGTGTGGAGAATCAGGGAGGAGTACCCGAGCCTGGATGGAAAGTACAGCGGCTTCAGTCCCACCAGGATGCTGACCATGCAGGACTGCGCTAACGGAGAGCTGTGAGGGGATTGTTTCCACATTACAGAGCAGGGACTCCCCCGCAGACTGACCTACTAGCAGTGTTCTTATGTTAACAAGTACCTTACAAAACAAAAGAAATGCAATAATTAAACTGTCAGTAAAATTAAAATGAGTCAGTTTTTGTCAGCTTGTGTTCGGTCAGAAGAGGAAAAACTTCACAGAATCAGTAAATCACTGCATTTTCTACTATCATCTGTCAAGTCATTTGGCTGCTCATTAAAAATATCTGAAGCAATTTTTCTCAGTTTCACTCCCTTTAAGCGGCTTTTTACCTTTTATAGGGCAGAAATAGAATTTTTTAACATTACTAACGCGCTTAGACAAAATGATTTCTCCTGCCAGGAATGTGTTCATATTCATCATATATTGAAAGATGAAGAGTTTTGTTCCTGCAGAGGATAGAAAGGCAACATATAAAGAAAAAAACTCCCCAAAGAGGTCATGGCAAAAACTGTTAATTCAATTCAATTGGTAAAGACTTGATTTTAGCACCTAATAGAGCAACAGACAACCCACTAATTGCAATTACCTGCTGTATCACATTTGTTTAATCAGTATACAAACAGAAATGTAAAAACAAGAGGTTGTGGTTTTAGGGGGAGTTACGTGCCGCACATTCGTCACAGCGAAGGAACCATCAGAACCTGTTCTCACAGACTGAATCTGGCAAGTTTGGCAGATGGATAAACAGTTTTGTCAAGAAATCATTCCAGTGCCTAACTTTTCCCTAAAGCCTCCTAAATAGTCTTTGTACTAAAACAAGTACAAGGTTTTAATTAGTGAGCTTTGGACAGTTGTTTCTTAACTGTTTCCCACTGCTTCCAGTCTTTATCACATCATGGTTACAGCTCCATGCTTAAAGGTATAGTTTAGCTTATTTGTTTTTATTGCCAAAAGTTAAATGAAAAGATTGATTACTTTCACATATGTATGCTGAAAATGAATCAAAAAATGAATATAATATCTAAAAATGAGTGTCAAAGGTAATTTGATTGGTAACTGGTCTCCGATGGTTAACTAGTTCTGACAAGGAAACAGTCAAGCACATGGATTTTGTTATCTAAAGACAAAGCCATGCTAGCTGGATCCACCCTGTGTTTATGCTAAGCTACCTAGCTGCTGGCTGTAGCTTCATATTTACTGTACAGAGTGAGAATGGTACTGATCTGATGTCAGTCTCAGCAGGAAAAGAGAATAAACCTGTTTCTTAACTATTCCTTTTCTCATTGTTTAGTGGGTCTGCTTTGTGTCACCATCTTACCCATCATGCCTTGTGCACACTGTTTACTTGTTTCTCATTGGTAAAGAATGGTGGTGAACTCCATTGAATGGTGTCTGGTGTGAAAGTGGTGTTGAAGCTTCAGTTTTGGGGATTATACAACAGGACTGAAAGTCTGCTTCAGAGTGATGGAGCAGCTGCTCTGGCTGAGAAAAGACAAAACACCACTAATGGTCCAAAATAAGTACATATGTCTCCACAGGAGATAAGAAGCTTCATATATCATATCAGCGCATGGTTTCAATGTGATAGCAAGGGGGAGTTGGTCATACATGGCAAGCAAGACAAACTTAGGAATTTATACATTTATTTTATAATAGAAAATACCTGAGAAGAACAAAAATGACCAGATCTTCTCATTCCCTTTAGTCTCCTCTGCGAACTGCAACACTGATATTCTTTTACTCCTGTTACTCCTCCTTTCTCCTGAACTCAAGGAAACTACGTCAAAAAAACGTTCAGCTGGTCTGTGAGCAGGTGAACTCTAGAACAGTTAGAGCAAACATTTAAACTGAGCCCTAAAAAGTGGCTATGTTACATCTCCAAAGAAACAGCAATCATTCCTCAAAAAATAAAATAAACATAATAAAATTGTCTGTCATGACATTTGGTTCAGACATTCATGTTCCCCTCAGACTCTTTGGGTTACTCTTTTCTTGTGGCCCTATCATCAGGTTAACATTTTAATTTGTTTAATACTTTGTAAAACTAATTTGACATTCCCATCAGCCTCAGTTGTAGTTTGTGTTTAATGCTAGATAGAAAACATTTTACCTACTTTATATGATCAGAAAGTACAATATCTACTTCTGAGATGGAGTAGAAATATGAAGTACTGTGGCCTATCATACCATAAAGTGGAAATACTCAATGTCTGTATCTCAAAAACCAACAATGCGTTTTTGAATATGATCAAATCTGCAGCTGGTTGGTGAAAGATGGCCTTTGCTGCAGCTCCACTTTTGATTTATGCCATAATAAATAGATATATTTCACATAAAAATCTAGTTCAGCTTCAACAAATATCTCTACCCGTCAGCCTTTGCACAGTCCAACACTTCCTCTGTCAGATCCAGGACAATAATAGTTGGAATAATATTAGCAGTTTGCACCCTGGGCCATTCTTCAGGTGGCCTATTTGACATTTACGAGCACTTTTAGCCCTTCACTTTCCCAACTGAGGCTCCAGACCCCGACCATTGTTTTTATAAATGGTCCATTTGAACAAAATAAGGGCTCTTTGTTAAACAACTCCAGGCCTGAAATAGCTCCCGACGACTTGTTTCAACGGCAGACATCCCTGTTTCCTCCCATTACTCATCCACTGTGACTGAACCCTCACTGCTGCTTTTGTTCAGAGGAGTTACAACAGGACCCACTGACTAATCTGTTAGCATGTGTCTTTTTGATTTAATCTTATTTTAAAAATGGCCTGGAATGAGGAATAACTCATTTCCACTAAATTAGATTAGCCTATATTCTCCCTGAAGGAATATACTTTAAGAATGTGCGACTTGTGTGTGTTTTCTTTACATGCACATCAGACAGTAAGTATGTTTTCAGAGTGCCTGTACAACTAAATATGAATCATTTACCGCTGTATTTTCTAATTCTATATGCTGGAAGTGTTATCCTGCAGACTGTGGATGGATGCATGTGAAGTGTAAGTGGGTTGAAGGCCATTGCAGATGGATTATATAATGGAAGTGGAGATGGACGGATGATCTGATGCACATTGGCAGATGGTTGAATGGACAGATGGATTTTCAGATAGATGGACACAGTACAGTAGACAGATTATATGGATGGTCAGTGCACCTACAGAACGATAAAAGTGTATAGTCTCTGAACTTGTTTATCACCAAAACACACGTAAGCCTCAGGAGTCAAACTACAGCTACATACTGGGCTTTTAGCAGTGGTTGAATGTAACTAAGTACATTTACCCCAAGTTCAAATTTTAGGTACTTTACGTGAGTCTTTCCATGCCACGTTCTATGTCCACTAGGTTCAGTAAGTTACTGTAAAACACTTATTTGTTTGTTTCCCTCCTGTCCTTGTTTGTCATGTGCTCGCAACCCTACGTTCTCATAACTGATGAATGATGATGACGTTACTGATAAAATTGATGGCAACATACCAGCCATTTCCACCCCTGAGTCAACACACTGGAGACAGACACACACTGCCCCCATTAACACTAACAACATTATATCAGTATAAGCATTAGTGGTTCAGTGAGAATATTAGGAAAGGTTATTAAAAAACAAAACAAAATGTATTTTCCCTCAAATTATTTTATTCCCTCAAAGTTGATTTAGGGTGAAACCTGTAACTCTGTAACAAATGTATCTGTATAAAGACATAACAATTCACGGAATCCACCAATATACTGCAAATAATGTGGACTGGGAATAATATTCATCAGTTAGACTAAATATATTAAGATAAAGAGTGGGACATAAAACATGATAAAGAATATGATGTTAAGGTCCAGTCAGTATGGAGTCTCCACATCACTTGCCTACAACTTTGTTTACTCAGAGATTTAACGGACTGAGTAAAAACAGGCAAGTAGGCAGTTTGCTCCCTTTGGTGTTTTTGGGACATGAGTTCAGTGTGAGGCCAGCAGAGGAGGTGTTTAACATCCTTACACTGCTGACAGAAAACTGATGTTGCAGTAATGTGGTATGCGCCATAGCCATTAGGCCTTCAAAGTGCCTGAAATCTACACATTTTCAGCAGGTTTGTAGTATACAGTGTGCTCACACTTGAATCTGACTAAATGAAGTATGCTGAAACCAGATGGTATGCTGCAAACTAAATACAGTCGATGTTTGATTCTGCTGTTGATGCACACTATTCATCCACAGTGCAAAGAGGGAAATGAAGGAGCTGCAAGCTGTGGGTAGTGGCCAAACAGCTCCAGAAGAAGACTGGAAATAAAAAGTAGTATTAGTATTAGTAGTATTAAAATATAAAATTTTAGCAAATATATTTAGCTATGTCTTTGTGAAGTTATACTGGCAGTGACTCTTGAAGACTTTTAAATCCCTCTTGGAAACATATGTTTATCGACAGCCTTCTTATAATTTTTAGATTATTTTATTTCTTACTATTAAGTTGGACTGTACTCTGTACGTTTTCTTGCACTGCTCTAAGTTTTGAACTCAACCATTGTTTTTAAAGGTACAGAATGTAGGATTTAGTTATCTACATGTGTAGTTGCAAATTCCAAGTCCGTCGCTTCCCCTCCTCCACAAAGGAGAAACTACAGTGGCTGTTTAATGCTCAAAAATGTGAACACCTCTATCTAGAACCAGTGTTTGGTTTGTCCCTACTGCGCTACCGTAGAAACATGGTGGTACAACATGTAAGGCGACCTGCAGTGTTTGTAGATATTAAAGGCTGATTCTAGGGTAAATAAGACAGAACAATTCCTATATTCAGGTGATTAATGAAAACATAGTTATTCATGTTATATTCCATTTCTGCCAAAATACATTACTGTGTATTTTACTGTTGTGTTTATCACTTTGTAATGCTGGGTTTGATAAGTAAACTTTATTATTTTTATTATTAGTGATATTTCAAAGTTGCTGTTTGATTGTAGTCCAATGTAGCACACACTGCATCATTTTCTGTCAGTATGAAGCGGGTTTATTTTTGTATACTAACAGTATACTATGATGATCAATTGGCTACTGTATAGAAGATGCTGTCAGCAAATAAAGATAGATATACTTTTTATCCCCAGGGGAAATTCACACAGCAGCAGCACTAACATGTGAGTGATTTAAAGTATGCCCTTTAAACACGAGCATACAGCTGTGCAAATTGCAGTCTGGTGTGAAACATCAATGTAATTGTAAATTAGAAATTGTAACTTTCAGTCCAGTTTATTCCAAGTAACCTTATATATACAGTCAATGCCAGTAACATAAGAAACTGCTATAACTGCTTCACAATGCATGTATCCAGCACAGATAGGTGACTGTTACAGACCAGTCTAATTTGCTCTGACTGATTTTGCCTGATAGATTTAAATTGTTAGATAAAGGTTAAAGGTCAACCAGGGGGCAGAGGTGGGTCATGATGTGACGTCGTTATCATGGCGGGTCGGAGAAAATATGAAAGATCGACTCCATTAAAGAAAAAATTAAGAAAAATATAACGAGGGACGTGAAAAACACCAAAACAGAGCGGACTTATAAAGAGCAGACAAGCAGAAGACAAACTTATGTAACAACACTTCATGTTCATTCAGCGGGTTTATTACCTGATTAACGCTGCGATGTGTGTTTGGGACACTTCTGTACCAAAAGGTAAGTGTGAATCTGGATTTAATCTGGACTGCTGCTGTGTGCTGGGTCGGGAATCGAACCGGCGCCGCTGCGGTAAGGACTCAGCCTACATGGGGCGCTCTGGTTGGTTCTTAGTTTTGACAACAAACACGAGGTTTACCTAATTTTCTGTGTGATTTGCTGTTTCCTGTCTCATGTTGTGCAATGAAGGTTTAATCTGTTAACAAACACATCCTGTGTGGCTGGTAATAATAAAAGTGTATTTATATATCCGAGCTGGTCTGCTGATCTCACAGGATGCATACATTTCTGTGACTTCCTGTACATTCTTTGAAGGTCGCTGTTAAACTTTACGACTTGACTGCAGCCTCCTGCTGGATCTCGGCCACTTTACAGTACAGTTCATCTCTAATGAGTCTCCCTCCCTCTGAGTTCAACTCATTTTCACAAGTTAACATCAAGTGTGTTTGAGGTAAGTAAGTAAAGCTTTATTTATATGTCACCTTTTTGACACAGAGATCCAAAGTGCTTTCCAAACAACAAATAAATAAACATAACAACACACGGAAAACAAACATAAGGAAGATAAA